ACTCCGGGTTAACTTTACTAGTTTTGTTTACGTTCGTCAGTAATTTATTGGACATCTCAGTGAACTCGTAATTTCTCTCTCTCTCTCTCTCTCTCTCTCTCTCTCTCTCTCTCTCTCTCTCTCTCTCTCTCTCTCTCTGTTACACCGCTCTCTCGCCATTGAAAATCGAAGATTTACATTTGCACGCGAGACACGCGAATAACCCAGCGCGCGCCTCTTCCTGTTTGCTCGCCTCGTATCGGTAAACGAAGAAATCAAGCGCCACGCGAACGTCTTACAGATTTTCAAGTTCTCTCGACTTTCGCGCGGAACCCACGGTGAACGCGCGTAATTAAAAAAAAAAGTTCTTTCGCGCAGATAACTTACACCGAGCATCATTATCTAACGTTTGAATCAAAGATCCTTCGACAACTTGCGTTTCCGTCAGACAACACTGTTCAGAAATAAAAAACCATTTACGATTCAAGGCGAACGACGTGCGAACTACGTGCAAGCAAATGGCAATTGGATTTCAAACTTAAGGAGATGGTTGCTCGAGGCAAAACCGTGGCGCAAGCCGAGCGTATTTTAACGCGTATTTGGGACGAGCGAGAGCAATTTCCCGGCAAATGGGGGGGGGAAAAAAATTGAAGACGCTCCGATAATTGTCCATTAAAACGGTTCAGAGTCAACTGTGTTACTAGCGTATACCCTTGACAGCGGAAAGCAAACTCCTGCCACGTAAACAGAGATTCCCCAGTGCCGCCATTATTTGCCGAAGAATTAACCGCGCCGAAACACGCGTTTACCCAAACGCGCGTTGACCGCATGCCGATTAAATGAAAAATAAGTTCAGTAAGTGGCGGCTCCATTGTCGTAAGATAAATTAACTTGCGAAAGATGAAAACGCCACATTTTTATCGCGTTCTCGCGACATTTGTCGTATTGTATTCTTTAGCAAAGTTACTGGCACTCGTCGCACTGGCACACTTATTAATTCTCATTAATATGTGCGGCAGAATGTACAGTAAACTGATTGGCAACTAGTCGGAACATTAACCACTTGCGCTGGCAACCGATTGCGGACCATAACGAGTGACCGTATAACATCACTGGACAGAAATGATTGAGAAGTAACAGATTTATTATTCGTTTTGCCTATTTTGTTTCACTTGAATATACTTGAAGACTGAGAAGACATTACAATTTTGGGACAAAAAAATTCCAAAAGTGAAATGTTTCCAATTAAAATTTTCCAATTCTCGCTTATCTACACGTTGAAGGTAAACTCTCGTCTAGTATAAATTGATAAATTGTCAGACACCAAATTTTCTCCCCCTGTTTATTACAATTACTCGTATTTGTATCGGCTATACGCATTATTTGATATAATCTCGATATACGAACCGAATAAAAATCCCAAAGAGTGTAATCCCATTCGGGTACGAATTGAAATCTTCCCAGCATCGATAACCAGTCAGGAATAAACGAGTCGGAACGCATGGCCAATAATTCTAACGCGCGTGAGCGTTTTAAAAATTCTCCCCGAAATCGTGCCACCGTTGGGCAATTTGTCGAGTAACGAAAGGCCGGGATTATCGATAACGTGTTCGATTAACTACACAAGCACGACCCATGGAAACGCGAAGAAGCCTCGGAGAACGCGATATCGGCGGATAGACGTGTCCGGAAATAAAATTTAATGGAGCGCCACGTGTCGCTTAAAGGGAGATAAATCAAACGAGCAAGCGTCGACGATAAAGCGTCGTTGAACTCGCGGGCACGTCGGCAAGAAACATTTTAGATCGCAAGTTTCTCGGATGGAATGCTCTTTCCTCCGATTATTCTATTTTTATAACCTACAAACGTATATGACTGCAGTATATAACTGCAACGATTGAAAAGAACATATGCATATGTGGATGAATGAAAAGAAAGTATCAACTATGAGTATCTAGAAACGCGATTTTTGGTAGATAATTGTCCGCAGTTACTGGACCGCAGAACACGAGAAGGAGGAAAATATACAGAACCGGAAAGAGGCAACGATTTATGCTCACGCTAAGAAGGAAAGTGCGTTTACTCTCTTTCTCTCTCTCTCTCTCTCTCTCTCTCTCTCTCTCTCTAGCGATTGCCGGAGTACTCTCGTTCGACGCGTAGCGAACGTGGAAAGTGGCGCTAATTAACCGAACGTTCCGTTTCCCGGGATTAAAATGTTTAGGAAATTCGTCGAGCTCGAAAGCGCGGCCCCGCGTGCACACCGAAACCTCACTTCATTACATATTGCTCCAACGTGGCACGCAAATTGCTACGTATAGTGAAATTTACTGACAAAATTTTCAATTCGAATTAGTCTCTTTTTTTCTTTCTTTCTTTCTTTCTTTGTCAACGTTGAGAACGTGGACGAAACACAAAATTAAACGAATACGAATTTCAGACGTATAGCAGACAAAACATGTTAAATATAACATAACGATAGTACATTGATAACGTTTCGTACGAGATGTAATATTTACATACAACGACCATGTACATTCATTTTGGAAAAACGCGTCTGTACGATTAAAATTTCACGCTATCTGTAGCTTGTATAAATCTACGACCACTGTATCTGGAAATTCAGGCACGAAATTTGAAAAGAAATACGGTGAGAACAGTGCCATCTACATTTGAACCACGCCATTTCCTTTTTACAATACGGCGAGACGGCCCGCCGGCTCGTCCGGACGTCGCGAAAAAAAAGCGCTGATATAAATAAAAGGAGCGCGAGGTAAAATGAGAGAAAGAGAGATAGAAAGAGAGAGAGAGAGAGAGAAGAAAAAAAAGAAGGTAATAGTCGTAGATACAATTGACTCACCAGACAACGCCGAAGGCACCATATCCGATGGGTCTGTCGGGCTGAACGAGATCCTGGGCTGGCGGCGGTGGCGGGGGCGCAGGAGCGGCAGGGTGGTAGTAGGTGGGGGGTGCCTGGGCCGCCGCCGCCGCGAGGACCGCTTGCCCCGGGTGGGCCCCCGTTGTCCCGCCGCCGCCTGTCGCCCCCGCCCCACCCCCCTGCATCAACGACATAGACACGCTCATGGACACCCGCGAGTGCCGGCTGGGCCCAACTACTGCCATCAAAACTCTCCTCTCTCCCTACGGGCCACCCTCCTCAACCCTTTCCCGATTCACCGCCACCGCGCCACCGCCAAGGCCCCTGGCTGCTTCAGGGGGGAACCCGGGACACGCCTCTCCTGCTCTGTCGATTCTTCCCTATTTCGATTTTATCCCGCTCTCACTTTTCTTCACCTCGAATCCAATCGAACACACTTTTTTTCTTTATATGATGGATGTTGTATCTGTCCCAGTAGCAAGACACACACGTGACACTGACACACAACTATTCCTCGGGATGGTACTGGGTTTTCCTTCGTTTACGTTTCACTACAACTACGACGACGACGACAACGACAACGACGACGAGAGCATTCGTTCAAACGGGAACGACGACGTTTTTTTCGTCGTACGATAAAACGGTATATCAGACTTGCAAAATCACTGTTTTCCGAACAATCGGCTAATGGACGCGTCGTGTCGCGACAAGAGTGTCGTTGTCTGTTCGATTAGAAGTCAATAGGTCTCGATATTGCTCTCGGTTCCATGATATATCGATGAGCGCGCGATCTTTCCTCTTGAATCGAGTGATTCGATTGTCGATCACTCGGGGGCAGGTAAGAACGATACGTAGCTTAGTTTCGAACGTAGCGCGCTCTCAAGGTACGGCGGGAAGGGTTCAAGCTTGAGGGCCACGAGGGGAGAAGGGGGCTCGTGACACCACGCTCGACGCAGCGGCTATGGTCGCGTCCTTTTATCGCGGCCCAAGGCAAAAACGACAACATGCGAAGGATAACCTTCGTAATAGAGACAAAGTCGATGTTAAGTTTTCCTCGGCACTGTATCGAAGGGTAACAAACGGGGCGTTGCGTGTTCGAAAGTGTCGAGAAAGAAAGAAACAACAGCACTTTCTGTTGGTTCCCCTCGAATCCAAGATACGCTTTCCAGACGAGAAGAACTGCCGAATGCGTAAATGTCACAAACGCAAAATCGTCGAAACTAAACGCGTGCCACGTTTCTTTGTCGGGTTTACTCTCGCTACATCCACGGTAACGACGTTGTTAGGTTATGTTTGACACACGCACGCAAGCCTGTTCTCCCTCTGCTCCGTTAGCTACGCTCAGCTGGCCTCATAACGTTACGATCGGAGGGACGGAGGTAGAAAGGGGGCGGTGCTTGTTCGTAAGAAACACGGTAGCGCGAAACAGAGAAAGGAATGAGAGAACACTGAAAGGCTCGGTCGAGTCCTCGACGGCCACAGCGATTCCGGCTATAGAGGGGGGGACGGCCGAATTTGTTCGGCGGTTTTTCCGAATTGATGAACGATTCCTCACTGTCCGGGTTCTACGGCCGAGCCAGAAACACTGTCACTTCTCGTACAAATCAGGCACGCACACACAAACACGGAAACACGCGCCCGCGCACACACAAGCGAGAGAGGGAGAGAAAGAGAAAAAGGAGTCTCTCGCGTAGCCGCGATAGAGGGATCGTCGCGGTACGAACTAAACGCACGTCTTCTCGCAGCCAAGGCTTGCTGGCCACTAGTCGAGGGGGGAAGGCAAGCTACGCCGTCGACAGCGCCAGCTGCTCACAAAGAAGGTCACGTGACCTGCGCACTAAACCAAGGCGCAGCCGTCCCAGCAATCTTTGCAAATACGATTGTAAAATCACGTCAAACTCTATATACCTACGCTTTTATGGTATATTATTCGTTTGTTTTATTACAAAAACGATATAGACACGTTTGTTATATAAACTGTCGACTGATTATTTAGATTTCACTTCAAATGTAATGAAATGTAATGTTAAGCGATTTAAAGACGGACGTAGTTTTTGAGCACTTCGAACGGAATCGTCTTTTTAAATTTTAATATCGAGATATTAAAAGCGCGATTGTTGGAGGATAGTAAAATTAAAAGTCATGGTATAATTCAGTGTGTATATTTACATTACCTTTGTGAATCATTATCGAATGTATTAAATTAACAAATTCACCGTTATTCTCCCAACTGCGTCGCAACGTGTACACACTTTTATAAAAAATGTTACAGAAGTAACTCGAGCAAGCGATATTATACAAAGCGCGTTTTCTGCTATTGATACGATTGTAAGGAAAACTCGTTTGTATCGTATTTATACATAGCACGTCTGTTCGCGTAACGTTTAAAATAGAAAAATGATCCGTGCTAACACGAACAGATATCGAAAAAGAAGTCACCGGTTTTACCTTACAACCGTAACAATTTTATTTCATATTTTTTTACTCCACGTTTGTATCGATATCCATATTCATCATATCGCTCCAACGATAAATATACCCATAAAGAAGAGTATTATCTATTACTTTGTTTAATTGTACATGTATTTTGCAAGGCATGTATTCACAATTAACATCACAAGAGAATAACAAACTGTTTTGTCGATTCCAATGGAAAGTAATATATAGTTATTATGTTCCACGTTTTCTTGTCTCTATACATAATCAAAATAATTAATCACGTTATAAAAACTATTAACAGTTAATATAAACTATTTGGTGCTCGATTAAATCTATTTCATTTGTAAACATTTCGATCTATCACTTTAAAAAAACGTTTTGCTCTTTATTCCTCTTTCGCAGAGTGAGTACAATCAGTGAATACAAGCCTGAAAACTTACGTATGATTGTATAGGAAAATATGAAAGGATAGCATCTCGAATTACCTTCTTCATACTAAATAGGCTTCTATCTTTGGTCTGACCGAATTTCCATCGACAATATCACGAGTCGTTCGCTGAAATTACGCGTGAATTACGAGAAAAATAAATTTCGCTGTAATATCGTACTCCTCGCTACATCCACGAATAACACAGTTCTGATGCTCCCTCGTTTTCCACTTTCGCACATTCGTTCGGGCTCGTCGAAGACCACGGACAAACTACACTTACGAGAAATTCAACTCGAAACGCTCAAATAGGAGAACAAACATCACAATTTCGTTCGATCTGAATAAACCGATCTTAAACATTCGAACGATTATGGATTTTCAACCCATGAGCGCCCGTATATACACGTATATATTTCCAAACGGATCATATAAATTTTTTTATACATCGTGTCAAAAATTTGTACAAAATCTTGCGAAAATAGCTTTCCTCAAAATGGAACCTTGACTTTCAAATAACTTGAAAATTTTAGAAATTTACGGATCCCTTCTTCTTTTTTTTTCTTATTTTCTTTTTATCTTTTTTCTCATTCTCTCTTTCTCTCTCTCTCTCTCTCTCTCCCTCTCCCTCTCTTTCTTTGATTATTCACCGGGCACCGATGGGCTCGGACTTCAACACTCACCTCATGCACTTTACCGTTTTACACTAACATTAATTCACAACACTATAAACTAACAAGCGCACAGTATTAGCGGTATTAAGCTCATGAGGTATAATATGATTTACACCATAAGTAATCTACCATTTGGCGAGAAGTTTTATTGAACAAAACTTCGAAGCTTGAATATGTGCTATAAAAACAAGATGTGAGTCCAACACACGGTAGACTGCGTACAAAATAAGGCATAAAATAATTTCAGAAAGTGCAAAAAGACAGCTCGCTTTTTGTCATAACTATAAATTAATCTCAAGTCAAAACGTTCGACCACTTCTTGATATAAAAACAAGATAACAAAATGATAACAGAAGTGAAAACTTTGTCGCTTTATACATATATATATATATATATACATATAATATCTCATAAAATTTGTGCGAGTCTTCGATTTCATTTCAATAGCTTCAATAACTTTTTTAATTTTTCTTCTACAGATAATACATATGCGAATTATCATCTCGTTTGATTTAAGGTCTATGATATAATTATTAGAAACATCTCGCCAGATAATTTGGATCGCGACGGTCAGGCACCACTCAATCACTATGTAGAAATTTTCGTTAGGTAATTTGAGCGACGCGGTATGCATTGAAATTTCCTCAGATCAGTTGAAAATTATGAAAGTTCGAAGCCCGTATTACTAGTGACAGCGTAACGTAACTTTTCCCGTAAGGTACTTTTCTTTTGATAATTCGGTAATTTAAGAAGATTAAAACAAGTAGACGATGTAGGTAAACGATTCTGCGGATCTTTCTTACGAATCGTAAAAAATCCCCTTATTACGCTACCTAATTTACAAAGAATTAATAGAATAAATAGAAAGTATGTAAAAAATATATGGTATCTATTAGTTTCATACCGATTGTATCACCCGTATCCTCGTCGTCGCCAACTTCAACGCAACGAATCGAAAATGGTGGTTCTAAATGTGCGAAACCCAACAATGGTGATTTTGAGCAGCTTGTGACAAACTATGAGACGGACAGAAATGTTAAAACAAACAAAACAAACATTACTTACAATTGTTAGACCGCACAGTATACCTTCAAAAATAAGCCTCTTTCCTCTTCAGAAAAATCTTTTTCTAAGATATCCCATAACCAGCATACCACGCGATGACTATCGTGAAAACCACCATAATATTGCGTATGTCTTCGCAAATCTCGCAAATCTAATGGAACATTATCACCCGAAATTAATCTCTGTAACTAAAAACAAAGATATTGTAACGAAACATTTCTTTAAAAAAATAGTCATTTTGTGTGTGTTTGTCTTACTTCTGGAGTTGAAAACAATGCCAACCATTCAGGATTGATTATGGAACGGAATCCTTTGATAAAAGCTGCTGTTTGATCTTTTATTTGCATGTGCATTCTGAAATGGGCCATTAGGTGTATATAATTGATTTTATTTTCATTGGTGACTGGCACCGCTCGTCCTCCGGGCACCAATTCGTGCGTAACTAATTTGCCTAAAACGTCTTCATCAAGAGAGAAAGTTAATTCTAACTGTCTAACATCACCTTTATAATGCTTCACAAGAGTAAGACTTCGATATAAGTCTCGATCTAAAGAAGCCAACTCGTCCAACCAACTGTACAATGCACCTCCAGTTTGCCCAGAAAATTGAGAAACAAAAAACGATGCGAAAGGTACGTCTACTACAATGCCCTATAAAAGATATTGATTTATTGAAAAAATTGATATAAGGTAAGATATATCAATATCTTAAATAAGATTTACAGAACATGACTGATATTATATTGATATTATAAATCTTACAATTTTATTTTTCTCTCTTCTCACTTACTTCGTACACCGCTTTACCCAACATACGACCAACAAATTCAAAGAGTTGTAAATGATTATCTTGCATGGATGACGTCGGAGATGGATAAAGTCGATTTTCGCTAGTGACTTTGAATAAATTCAGAGATGGATCGAAAACTCTTTTTATTGTCTCCTCTAAAAACTCTTTAAAGACTCCATCTTGGTCAATACCAGCTTCCGCTAGACCTTGCTCGTTCACAAAACGAACTCTAATTACGCCTTTAAGTGCCTGAGAGGGTAACATTGCCAATTGACGATATCCATCTTCCACTATGCGAGTTCTACAAAATTTTTAAGTTATTTCTGGTGTAACATATTCAACGCGAAAAAAACATCTTCCACTACCTGTGAACAACAATAAGCGTTGTCGGCGTACTATTGCAAGCACTTTCGGTTAAACCCAAAACTGCTTTTTCGTTAGCAACGTGTTTGCGAAACAACACAACACGCTCCGAATGAGGAATAACATGCGGCATTTTAGAAAGGAGAAGAGCAGCACCTCGCCTCCCTTTCTCCAAATCTGCCAGAAAACCAGACACTCGAACTTCCTGTTTTGAAAATGTATTCGTTTCAAAATCTTGCAACGTAACATGAAAATAATTTAATTTAAAATACTTAACTTTGCCAACCAATGACCTTCCGGACAAAAAGTCCGTCGACAATCCCTCCGGTAAATTGCCATTAAAAGTGTGTGAAGAGAGGTGAAGAGAGGATTATTAGGAACTGATTTCACGTCTGGAACATCTAAAACTTCAGTACATAGCTAAACCGCTTATCTCTTATAGTTATATATCATTAGAAAAAAAACGATGTTACAAATAGGTTAAAGAAAGATATAATGCGAAAGTTGTAATACGCACCAAACAGGTTGTTAAGCACTGCTTTGTATAAAAATTGATTTAAAAAGTACGATATTGTTACAAAGTCGCTAAGTTTGAACGGATCTTGTTGTTCATACATTTCCATATCATCTAAAATTCTAATCAAATACAGAGATAAATCGATGCTGCGGAAACGATTCTATATTATTATTTTCGTACAGCATACACTTACGTAACATAATGTGTCATACAATCAGAAAATAATATTAACATTTGAAATTCAGGTGCTGTACATTTTGTATTAGCAGCTAAATGGTCCAAAAATGCTTTTAAGCCACAATGTGGACCCAGTGTTCCCAAGAATAAATACATATGGTATAAAATTTTATCTTGATAACATAGACCTATTACATGATAGATATAAATATAATTATCAATATATCATTGATACATTATATATATATTTACCAGTACTTACCAGTCAATATTTCCATTTTCATTTGTGTAAGTGTATGTAAAGCAATTTGATAAAGGGAACAAATTAAAGCTATTCTAGTAGTTTCTGCACTTCCCAATTTTCTATAATTTTTGGTGTTATTATTCCTATTTGTACGTGCTTCTAAAAATGCTCTTCTAAAAATGTTGGTACCAACAGATGTACTTTGTTGTTCTACCGATGAAGGTATCTCTTTTTCAATAAGTTCTGTTAAAGGTAGACCTAAAAAAGTTTTATTATATTTTTCAGCAATAATTTTAACAAAGACATACTTATGAAAACAAAATTCTCTCATTACCAATTAATTGTGAAACTATTCTTCCGGTCCATAAACAGGCTAATTGTGATTTCACATTTGGAATAGGTTCTTGCAAAGATGTATCAACTTTTTGTGCAAGCCAACCAAGAATAGGATGCCAATGAGTTAAATTGCTTTGTTTTGCAACTACATATTGTTGACATGCCTCCAACATTTTTGTTACAACAAACTATAAAATTTATTTAAAAATGAAGCGTGGTTTACTATATACATAAAGATTACATTTTATGCAATAAATCGATACCGTAAAAGATGGAAAGTACAACTCTTTTAACATCTCATCTCTTTCAATATTAGCTAACTGTATTAAATTAGCTAACAAACACAATGCGTAGCTACCTTCCAGAGCATTGAAAACTATTCGTAAATTTTGCTCTGAATTCAACAATTCCAAACTCCTTGCAAACAAATTGTTTGTAATAAAAGAAGAAATACACTAAAAATATATGTTATAAAAAATATGATATGCAGTAAAATAATATTTGAAATAATATATTATTGTTTACATACTACTGATGATATATTATTCAAGTGATAAACCAATGCAGGTACGCTAAAAATATTAATTAGAAACAATGAAACCAATTTATCTGACATCTGGGAGGAGATCAATGGTCTTAGTGCCAATGTAACTGCTGCTGAAAGTGCAATTGGTTTTAAAACAATATCCACTCTACCCAATCCTTTTACTAGAAATGCCTAAAATAAGATCAAATATCACGAAAGAATGAACCATTTCATAAAAGTAAACACACTGAATAACACAACTACTTAGAATAGGTTAATAGGATAATCACTTGCATAATGGGATAAAACCCATTGTTGACTAGGTGGCCCATTATGTTCGCACAAAGCTGATTCATACCAGCTTTGAGTTTTTCCATTCCTTCTACTTTCTGAATTGCCCATGTTCCTGGTGATGTAAAGCTAACTAACGTATGTAATCTTAAATGGATGGACTTATGATCAGACACTCTCTCTGGCTTGAGATTATCCAAGCCAGTCAGACAATAAAGTAATATTGTTTTCATCTGTGATATCCATGATATGTAACGATCTTTATTTAATACAAGTCCTACGTAAGAAATTTCTGGAGACTCAGAATCTAAAGTCAGTACTAAATATCTGAAATATTTACTCTTGTCAATTTTCTTATTGTTTTTTTTTTTATATAACTTTTTATCTTTCTTCTTCTTATTTATTATTCATATATCTGCATTTTATACAATTATCTTTTATTCACATACGTACCTACATAATTTTTCTATTCTTTCTTGAACCTTTTCTTTTTTATATATATACAAAAATTTGAAAATAATCTTATACACATCCAAAGCAGGCTTCAACTTTATATTTGTTTCTGTGCCACCATCATTCAGAAAATTAGTATCAAATTCTTCTCTGAAAATCATATTTTTTACTCTACTATTTCTCTTCATAATACACAGATAGTGTAATAAATAATTAATAAAATATATAAACATGAATATTCTACATTTTAATTTTTTTTTTTTTTCAGTAAGAATCACGGACAATGTCCGATCCGATCAACGAGCAACCAATGGAAAATTACCGAGTGTAAATAAATATTGATAACCAATTGAAAGACTACAACTACTTCATTTACAGTTAAAGACGATTTAAATGCCACCGAAAGGTGATTTGGAAAAATGTATAATTATCATAAACAGATGTGCTGATATTTAGAACGATATTACAAAACTCACAATATTCTTTTACGGGTCAACCATCCCCTAACGTAAGCCTGAATTAAAATGACAGCAGCCTCTCTGTCTTTCTCATGGGCTCGTTCTTCCCTAGCGGCCTTCATTTGCTGAAGGAAGCTGTCTTTGGACGGCTCCTCAGCTTTGAACATCCTTGATTTACCGCGACCGCCAGCTAAGCACTAAATTATGCTAATGACAAAACATTGTCAGCTGGTCATCCGTGTGGTCACTCTAGACACCGCGATTGTAACCACACACTAGAAAATCATCCTTTACAGCAGCACACGTCACGTCGATTTCATTCGCGTTATAATCACTCTGACCGATCGGCAGAGATTGCCATTTGCCGCACGTTTCTCACCATCACATAATCCGGGTATACTTCAGAATGACAGACAACTGCGACGGCCATTGTTATTAATTTGATTCGAGGCTGAATATTGAGGACAAAGGATATTAGGTTAGGTTAAAAAGCACGTGACTGGTGGCGCCATAAGATCGTTCAAATAAATTATCGAACTGCCCGCGTTAACCACATCGTTCCACAATTCATTTAACTTCTCGAAGTAAAGAAGAAGGCACTTGTACAAAAGAAGGCATTTTATTTCGTATACTCTAATAGATTATATTTCATTCATCAATTTAAACGATCCTGAGTAGTTAATACACGACAGACAAAAGAATTTGTGTTTTACACTTTCTTCATAAAAATAATATTGATTTTATAATACCATATTGTTAGCGATCACCATCAACTATAATTTATATCGCGATTCTGATATTTTGAAGAGCTACTTGTATATATGTATATATCTTTCAGCTTTAGAAAGCTTAAAATCTTTCATTGCCGACACAGCCATACTATAAATTAGAGGTCTCGATTGGCATCAATTATTAATATTCAAGATTCGTGAAAATATCATCAAGTTAAAAAATAAAAAGTATCAATGACCCCAAAAATTATCGTTATCGTTCAAAATCTGAATTAGCAAATTTACAGCCATCATTTACAACCCTAATTCTATCGAATTAGATAGTCCTTCAAATATAGGCAATCAGTTATGCAATACACGAAATCAAGAAGAATAAATTTAGAACTTTCAAATTGTCAAATATCAAAATATTACAGTCGTCACATGTCTTCAAACATCAACAGTGATCGCTAACAGATACTATAAACCGTTCTTAAATCAATGTATTTCAGTCACTAAATGTTCAAGGTAGACCATAAAGTTTTAAAGTTCTGTCCATACTGGTCGACGCTATATACTGCGCATGTTTTCCGAAACGAACACCAGTTGCGGCTGCAGTATGATCATTAAGCACTTTTAATTCTTGCCACTGTTTACACAAGTACACTCTGAAAATAAGAACGAAAATAACAATGAATAAAAACTGATATGTGAGGTAATTGACCTGAAACATATTACACATGTGACTTAGTAATTACCTTACGTCTGTTCCAGCTACTGCCAAATATGTTCCACTTTGATCAAAACAAATATCTTTAACTTCGTACCCTTCTTCTAATTGGAGAGTTTTAAAGTTCTTCAATTTACGCAAATCCCAAAGTTTCACGCATGAATCCTCTGCAGCTGTAGCTAAATAATAACCATTTTCAGAAAAACTAATTGCCGTAATTGGGCCTGAATGACCTGGGAAGTTAGCTACGTTTGATTGTTCTTTCAAATCCCAAATTTTTACTTGAGAATCTTGTGTGCCAGTGCCAAAGATCAATCCATCAGGATGAAACTGAGCTGTGGTCAAAGGTTGACTAACTTGTCCAGCAACCTATATTATAATATATTATATAATACATATTGATATATGATTAGACTTTATTTATTTGTTTGTAAGAATACCTTGGTCAGTAATCTACCAGTACGTATATCTGAGAATGCCCAATGTTGATCCAAAGATGAACTCAATAAATAATCGCCTGTTGGATGTAAGGACAATCCAGTTACAGGAGCATCATGACCTTTCAATAATAAAGTTGTTTGACTGGTTCCTACATTCCATACGCGTATTGTAGTATCAGGTGATGCAGTCATTACAATATCTTCTTCTGGATGATAAATTACTCTGGTAACCTAAGTATATATAACGATTAAATATCCAAAAATATTGAAAACAGCTGAAAACAGAAAGATTTTATACCTTTTTCGTGTGTCCTTTCAATATTGCAACAACTTGCTCTGTGTCTTTATTAAATACTGTGGCATTTTTGTCAGCACCACCAGTTAAAATTTTACTCGTGTCTGCACTGTGTATATCAAGCGCAAGTATACCAGGAACGCTAGCTGAATGAAGACCCTTAAAAATAAATAAATAATAATAGTAAATAACAATAATGTATAAAAAATTTGTTGTATAAATAAAAAGAACGCAATATTACAGGATGTGAAGCAAGTGTTTGAAATGCGCGAATGCTATCTTGTGGCAATAGATCTTCAGGAACCGAACGCCCGCGACGTTTCCTTTCTTGCGTGAGAACTGTTGCTCTCTCTTGAAGCTTTTGTATTACATCTTCAGTAATACCAGCTTGTTCCATAGGCTGAGCAGCTGTACCACCAGCTTCTACTGCAAGTGCCTGCAATAAGATATAATTTATTAATAAATGTTCCTGATATAAAATGTAGATAAAATTAATGTAATATTATTATCCATACAGGTTGCGGAATAGTTGTAGCTTGAACAATTCCAGCTTGAGGTTTCAAAGTAGCTAAAGCTTCTCTAGCTGCTGTTACTTCTTTTGTCAATCTAGCAATGACACGGCATGCTGCATCATGTTGATATAAGGAATGGGACAATTCTTGTCTAGCTGTTTGAAGTTGTTGTCTAAGTGTAAATGAATGTAACATAACGGCATCCCATTCATCTTGTAAAATTTTTAATATAGCTGGAATTGATGTTGCACTTGGCGGTTTGGGTTTAACTATTGCAGTAGCTGCAAAATGACAAGAATATCATTGACAATTTTATATGATATTATAATGTACAATGTGATAATTATATAAAGAACAAGAGTAATATACTTTTGATATCAATAAGTTGATCTGCAGTTAATTCCTTTCCAGTTATAGGATCTACTCCATTTTCAGCTAGATATTTTTCAATTAAACGTTTTTCAAATATGGAGCCAGATACTGGAGATACGACCGGATGCTCCGGGACTTCGTTAGAAACTGAAAATAATTTTTTTTTTTTATTTATTTAATCAAGAAACCAGTAGTGATGAAAAATATTTTAGGTTATGTTTAATTCTTATCGGTAAGAATTACAAACATTATAACAGAAATGGCCAATTGATTTCTATTATTATTATATAATGTCAAAAATATAAAATTAATATAAATCTTTTTATTATCGATTAAAAATATTTATATATATAAAGAAAAAAGATCTTACTCGCACAAGAAAGCGCCATTTTCATACATGCGAGACGCGTTTACTACGCATGACATATAAATTGCAATTTTCTGTTACTAGGTTCCATATAAATTTAAATATAATATTTTTATGCAGTCTATCTTACACAATTATAACGATGTATATATGAATTATAATACAAATTTCTATATTATAAGATATTCTAACCATTTAACAACAATATATATGTAGCATATATCGGATAAAAATAAAATAATTTTAACAAAAAATAAATTTTAAAAAACAAAATCGTTATGTATAAATAATTTTATGATCTCGTTTCGAAATTGAACGACATTAAAAATTTGAAAATCTCTTGATTAGTCTCTTCTATCAAAAAAGTAAAATGCTAGTATGCTCAGTATGACTTCCGTTTTAGTGAAGTAAACATGGCTCCTACAATAGCTGTCATCTTATTCTTTGCTGCCGCCTTTGCAACTTCTGAGTGCAAGGAATATTATTATGCATCTGCAAGAGTTGAGGTAATAAATATATTTATTTTTGTTGATACAAATTTTGTTACATTAACATGTCATGTGTTTAAGTCAAATCAAAATAGTTTAAAATGTCAAAAATTTCTTCCAGAGTTGCAGTGGTTGTCGTCTAAGCCGGCTTCCAGATGTTAAACAATTTATCTTTGAAGATTTACCTAACTAGTATCCTTAATTAAAAATTATTAAACTATCATATATACATTCATAAATTACATAATTGCAATAAACATTTTTTTTTTTTATTAATCAGCTTCTTGATTTTATTTTTTTACTAACATCTCGTTTATATTTTATATTTATTTTTAAACCTGAAATGTTTGATTTCTTTAAGCCATTATTTTATCATCTAACTTTATTTACATTTATGATACAATTGATATAATGTTTATCTGCTTGTGTGTGTATATGAGAGAGAGATAACAATTTTATAATAATAAAATTATATCTTAATCTTTATCTAATTATATCTAATTAAAATTTCTTTTGAAGAATAAGAATTAATTATATAAATCCTTATATGTTTTTCTAGTAATAACGTTGAATTTAAACATATTCCAGGTGCAGTTCCAGAACTTCTTCTCTTTAATGAGAATGAAGAGGTACAATGAGCCTAATATATAACTATTATGTAAGATAATTGAATGTTTTTTACTTTTCAGGAAGTGGAAAGATTACCTTTGTCTAGCTTGACACGGGAAGAATGCAATAATCTTTTAATTTCTAAAGGCTTTACAAAAAAGACATCAAAAGATGAAATATAAAAACAAATGAAGTGTGTATGAATGTAATGTCTGTAAATTTGAGAAATAATTTTACAATATCTATTATAAAATAAGTTATTTTGATAATCGTATTTCTGTTATCAATGTAATCATGTCTCTTTTGTTGATGTAGTATGTTTTTATGTTTATTTGTAAATAGAAATAGGTACTCTTCTAAATCAAATTAAAAAAACCCTTTAATAAATACTAATTACAGTAAAGGTAGTAGATATAATCCAGGCCCAAAGTTGGTATATGTAAAATATTAAAAAGGGAGCATTATATATATATACATGTATATATATTGCACTCTATTAAATAGTTTATAGTGGAAATATAATTAGAGCACAAAGTAGCTAATGTAGTAGGGATCTTTTGATGCACATGTTGCTGTCTTTGAGTACCTCATTTTCACATAGATGAGGGAGCGTTATATTATCTCCCTTTGGAGCTGCAATCTGTGATACAACTACTAGATCCATAATGTGACAAAATTGATCATTATGGAATGCTTGGGCTTCTTTACTCAAAAGTTTTAGTTGTCGAGCTTGGTTAAATTTTAATATTTTATAAATAAAACTAATAAAATTTTAATAAATAATGATGAATATGATTAATGTATTTCAGTATATTAAAAGAAACTGAAATTTAACCAAGAATTCATATTATTTATTTTATTACAAATAAAAATAAAATAATTTTATTCATGATAGCTCTTGATACGACTGAAACTTCTGTAGTAGGGTATCCTATGCATATTTATTTTATTCATGTCCTACACAATGTTGTTTCTTTTTTTATTGTAACATTGATTTATTTATGTAAGTTATGTACACAAAAGACAAACAAAAATTTGAACTCATAGAAAATTTGCACAAGATTATAATGAAGTTAATTAATATAAAAGTATAAGTAACTTAAGTATAATAATTTTTTTATTTACGTGATGTATTTATCTATATTTAAAATATTACAATGCACTTGCAATTAAATTGTTTATGTTACTAAATATGTATACCTATTATCTTCTAATAAAACCAGTAACTACAGAAGGATAAGAGATTTTATTAAAAGGACATTACATTTGTTTGCTTCTAATTTATTCTAACAGTAATATATTAAATAAACGTGTTAAAGACAATTTACATCATTACGTTATTTGATTTTTAAACAAATTACGAATCATATTTAATGAATAACGCTGCTAGTTTATTTTATATATGCATTAAATTACAAACTTTTCACTTTTAAATCAATCTACAGTATCAATATTACCGCATGTGGAATGTCAATTTCCATTCAATATAATAATTCCAACTTGTCAAATAAGTATACAAAAACTTTACTTTCCTTGATTATATGATCATCATTTTCCGATTTTGTTTTTTCCTCTTCTATTTCCATAACCATAATACAAATAAAAGCAGAAATATAAATAAGCTAAATTTATGTCCTTATATGTACTTTCACTGATAATGATATATTACAATATTATGTATTATGCGATATATTTGTTCTTATTTCGTTTAATTTGCATCTGTTATCAATCTGTTTTATTAACTATAGATTATATACACTATTTATATTAATAGTTAGTAAAAACCGCATAGGTCGACGTTGATATAATAAACCAGTAATTACTAGGTTTTTTTAAACCAATCATGTATGTTTTGCGTAGAATAGATATCTTACGTGTCTAAAAGTGATATATACATAAATATCATAAGAATAAGTTTCATAAATCCTAAAACCAAGAAAATTATCTGCTTGAATATATGTGTTTATGTACAAATAAAATACATTTATACGTGTATACGTACAAATAAAAATGTATTATAGCTAATAAAATTCGTTTGTTTATTCAAGCAGGTATAGTTACTGTAGCGAGTAACAACGATTACACAAACGGGAAAAGATCGATGTATTAATAAAAATGTAATGAATCAATTCAGCAAGAGGTATAGGATTACAAGATACGGAGCAAGTAATATGGTTTAACAAAATGTTACGCCATCAAGAGCCAGCAAACAAATATCAAAGCCACCCATAGAAATACTTTTGAAAGAAATTGTTCTTCTTCGTACTGTGGTGTTCCTCTAACAGCTATATGAAAATGCATATTTTAATTCAATTTTATTAAATAGTAGTAGTACATAAAATCAGTTTATGAAAAATACTTTACCTGCACTTGGTCGTGTTTCTCCAAAATTAAAAGTAGATGTGAAAAATGCAAATGGAAATGTTCCAATACCAAATGACATGTAAGATCCATCTCCAAACCCAAAACTAGAAAATCCAACGTTATTTTCAGGTTCTGTCCTCTGACCAGCTGGGCGTGGTGGAACATTATTTCTAAAACAATACAAAGTATAATTTTTTAATATATGTTGTAAAGCAGCCATATATAGGAAATTATAAAAATAAAAATGCAAGCCACCTTGGATCTTCATGCCTTGTATCTCCACGTCCATATAATGGAATGACTTTATCTTTACTGATCGCAGATTTACACACAGGGCACATTTGTCTCGTTGGACGTGTTTCTAACCATTGATGCAAACATGGCCAACTAAATATGCAAATAAAAACTTGGAATGGATGTCATAGTATTTATCATTCATTACAAAGATTAATATCATAATATTAAACGTAAAATATTATAAATATGTAATTCTTTGACAATAATCTTACCAAAACAAATGACCACACATACTGATAACTGCATTTTTTGCAGTATCAAGACAAATATTACATTCAAATGTTCGATTATCCTTTTCTTTTTCGTCTGCAGTCGAATCCCATGGCTTGGATGGTCCTGCTTGTTCCCTTGTGGTGCTCATATTGAAGAACTTTTGATGGAAATAATTGATATCAACAAGAGTTATAGAAAAATTTGCAAGATTCTTTAACATAAAAAAATTCCTACGTGTAATTTAACAAGTAACAATAAGAACCGTGTCGTACTGATTCGTATTGACGTATAGTAACGTAAAGAAAAACGGAATTTGGACAATGTATATTCTTTTATCACTTAACACTGATGGTACTATCGCATGGAAAGAAAAAACCAACATCAGGCTGACAATCTTTGTAACTATAGACATTATAGTGACGTTAGACACTCGACATAAATTTCGTAAAGTATAGAATGTTACGCAGTTTATACAAATATAGAATTTCCATTCATAGTTGTTTTAATCTCATATGTTTTTCTGAATCCACTGCCATTGTCTGACGTATTATGTATCCATGAACAAAATCGGAAGTCATATGTCTAAGTGAGAAACGTAAAAGTTAATAAGACACAAATAAGATTAATCGTATCTCGCAGAGTTATTTTTCTGTTGCTGCGAGCTGTCACGTACGTGATAACATTCGACGAAAATATCAGCTAAATATTGAACGGCACTTAAAGTTCATTAAATGGTATTTGGCAATCAAGGATAAGATCTGGTCAAGATATTAATGGAGTTTGTATCTGCCATTGCTGACACAATTCATGTCACTTACTTTAGCCTATTGACCGCGGAGCCCCCGTCAGCGATATATCCTTCCGCAAACTTAACTCTGCTTCCAAAATGATCTGATGTATTACGTACGCCGCAGTCGCAATTGCGCAAGTGCCATCAGATGATTTTCATGATTTTTCACGAAACGGATGTTCGAAATAACACGTAAGAGATTTGTCAGCGATGGCCACGCGTTTATTTGTGGTAATGCTGGCGCTGACAATTGCTCGTATGAACGATTCGCATTTTATTTTTTTCAACCGTAACTCCGACTATCGTTGTAGTAATTTTGTCGTAATTTTAATACGTTCGTTTAAATCCAACACTTGATTAACGCCGTACCTCAATTGCAAGGTTACTTTTTATCGACTGCGCGTGTGATAAGGTTCCTCCAGGTTCTTTGCTACGCTAACAGAGTACGCGATCAATGCAATTCAAGTAAAAACTTGAATAAATCGGACGAAGAAGCGTTATAAATATTTATAATTCAAGCTCGTTCATTTTACATTAATTGTCTGATTGTTGATTGAAATCGAAATGTTAGTAAACTGACGAATGGATATATTCAATCAGTCATTTTCAGTTGGACTAATAATTTTCAAAATCACAGGTAATACAAAAACAAATTACTCAAACATTCACGTATTTATACGTACATGTATTTATACAACTGCGTTATACAACTAAATATATAATTTTTATGAATATTTCGAAATATCGACAAAACAGTATTTAAAATTGATTTTTACATCACCATGGAATTAAAGACAACTGTACATACATACGTCCTCCTTTGCAACGAAATAGTCTAATATCAAGTAAAGACATTGAAGATGAAAAAAGTGTAATTAATTAATGGAACTGGTTCTCTGTGTAGTGATACAATCTCCAAATATTTCTCGATAAATATCATGTAAATATTTCATTTGCTTGTGGATAATTGGCTACAGGTATCAATAAAATGAAATGTAAATGTACATGTAAATGTATGATAAAAAGTGATGCGAGAAAAAAACTTATTTAATAGAATGAAAGCGGACGCAACAGAGTCTCCACAGAGGTCTCAAAGTAGCAGATTTGAAAGTCCAGTTTCGTCGAGGTTTAAGCTCAGCTTAACGAGAACGCGCAAGTTTGCAGGAAAAAACATAGCCTCAGCTGTTTTGCAACAACGTCAGGCACTCCGTGTGATAGAGAATGACGTTGACGTCACCCCGAAATTACTGACCCATCCAACTTACAGTTCAATCGACGAGAAACAAATAACTGCATTCGAAACAATGGGCTTATCACAGATCAGCAGTGTTGGTACACTGTCCCTCATCTCCAGTTTGAATTTTGCAAAAAGAAGTTCCTCTGTGATCGTGAGAACCTCGTCGATTCTTTCCGATTCGATGACCGATGATACATTGTTTGAAAGCTTATTATCCACTCAGACAGATGAGTTTGTGTTTGAAGACGAAGATACAGCTCCTCCTCAATTTTATCTACCTAGGTAATTTTTACGGCAAGTATTTTTAATTAGATATTGTCCTATTATAATTATGATTAGATAATTAGATATATGAAATATCTAATTTAAAATATTAGGTATTTTAAAAATTTTAAGACTGCAATTAGTGTTACTATACATATTAACTCTTTGAAAATATGTTTGTAATTTGAAAATGTTAGCAAGAATACATATGAACGCTTACGTATATGATGTAAATAATTTGTACATATTGAGTTCACAAAGAGTTAATGCATTTTGTTATAATAATTGTTTCGAATTAGTGAAGAGAAATGACAGCTTCTAAATTTGATTCGTTTATTCAGAGAAGATCCAAATATTTTTCCAACTCGACCTGATACTGTGACGCTCACTTTAAGAGAAACGGAGACGTTCTTTATCTTTGAGATGCAACCTCGCACTGCAGATTTACTCACGTCGGAGGGTGTAGCGGTTAAACAAGAGAACGAGAACTACGAATACAAAACGATCGGACCTGGCTCGACTAGGAAATTAGTAGATGCCGAAACTCAGACCATACAAGTGCTCATGAGATCTCGAGGAACGTACCTTTCGAGAAAGTCACGTCGAAATCGGGGCATGTTCGTGAATAATTGGGAGATGTACGACACTTACCATGCTCCTGAATTAATGCTTGAAAGAAATGGTCTGCTCGTAGTGCATAGAAAAGAATCTATACAAGAAATGTTAGACGCAATGGTTCGGACAATTTTTAACACTATTCATAAAAGTCTCATTTTTACTCGTGATATTTGTAGACATGTTCAATAATAATTAAGTTCAATTTTCTTTTTGTAGACTTTGAAAACTAAACTACCGAAGCCAGAGACATACGTGAAGAAGACCGACCTTGAGGAGCAGATATATATATTCCAACACATCAATTTCCGGAATGCCGTGCAAATAATGGAGCGTATAATATCAAACAACATTTTCATTAACGCTCAAAAGCGTTTCACTGGCCTAATTAAACAAGATCTGTGCAGCCTTGACTTGGAGTTCACGTATAGCCCAGATCTCCTTTGGATCCACGATTGTAAAGAAGCTTCGGGAAGACTGGTATCCTCCTTCTGCTGGAATTACGTTAACAGAAATATTGTAGCCGTTGGATACGGAGCACGAGATAATTCAGATATTAAAGACGGTCTGGTGTTACTCTGGTCTGCGAAGAATCCTGGTGTACCAGCTCGTTGGTATACTTTCAACAGCCCGGTCTCGGATCTCGATTGGAGTCGTGAACGACCAAATTTACTTGCTATCGGTTACTACAACGGCGAGATCAAGGTGATCGACGTGAGCAATCCAGATCTCAACGTTGTACGACGGAGCGAAAAGGCCACGTCTTCCTCGACTTCTCCGCATTGGCAAGTTCAGTGGTGGCCAGGTGACGAGCAATACGAATACCAAGAACAGATTTATACGTGCAATCAGGATGGTTGCGTGTTCTGCTACCGATACGTCGAAGATTTCACTTCGTCGACGATAATGAAGATTTACAGGATAGAGGGAACGCTGCCGGGCGTCACCAGGACGGTCCCATGTAACCAATATCATACATCAATTAATCGAAGTCCCGGAGCATTGGTGCTACGAAAACATCCTACTTTAAGCACCATTTATTTCGTTGGTACGGACGAAGGTTGCATTTACAAGTGCTCCACGAATTATCTATATCAGCATATAGACAGTTTTCTGGCGCACGATGGACCAGTTTACTCGATGATGTTTTCTCCATTCTGTCCAAAAATTTTCTTAACATGTGGCGCCGACTGGTGCATTCGAATCTGGGCTGAAAACCTAACAGAGCCACTAATTACATTGTCTACGACCATGGCGTGCGTTCGATACGCAGCCTGGTCTCCCATCCATTCTACGATCATAGTAAGCATCGTCAACAACGAGATTTGTATATGGGATATCAGACGGAAGACATACAAGCCTGCGTCGGTGACAATTTCACCTAATAGCGATAGGTTTGTTATGGTTGATTTTACGGCGAATGGTAATCAGCTTGTGGTAGCGGATGTCAAGGGTGTTGTATATGTGTATAATCTCGAAGGAATGCCGTTTCCGCCGTACAATCAGCAACAGGTGTTGGTAGACTCGATCGAGAAAGCTTTAATTACGAAGCCAATACTTCTAAAGAATTTAAAGAAACTTGGATCACCGTTCTCTTGATAGCAGCATCGAAGAAACTAGAATCGAATTACGTTGTTCTAAGCCAGTTGTGACTTCTTCAGAAGTCAAACTCAGAGACTAGAACTTCTTACCAGCTCTTCAATTTTATTATCATTTTATTACACAGGTATAACATTGAATTATAATTTTCAAAAAACAAATGCTTCTATAAATTTATTTATCGAAAGAAGATGGTTTATGAGCTAATACATCTTAAAGTAAATTTAAAGAAGTATTGTTTGTAACATCATTTTCTCATGACACTGTCTGATACGCTATATTTTCTTAATTACAGAACTTTGTATCTCCCAGCTTATACAGTCGGCTTCTTTACTTTTATTGAATTCATTTCATTCTATAGAATATTCCAATGAATTATATCATGAGTTGATCAGTCTGACTTCTGAACGGTTCGTACGATTATGTGCATATACTGTCACGCGATATCGCATCGTGAAACGAGGATTCGGATTACCGTACATTTGATTTTCAATAACCTGCCAGCGGCGCGATGGTTACAATGTTCCCCTCCATGCTTATCCCGTGGACCTTGACTGTTAGCCAGATCGTTACGTGGGACGTATATGATATTTTAGACTTCTTTATCGGCCGTGCAGCCAGAGGCGAAATCCAGCACGTGGGGACCCCTTTCGGTCCCCCGAAGCGAAGCGTGCCCAAGGGGCCTTGCGTGATTCGCGCAAAGCACGGAAAGCAAAGCGACCATTTCGATTCAGGATGGAACTGCGGTGTGCCGGGGCCTACTCTGAGGTCTGGTAGGTAGGCAAGTCGGCACGGATGGCTGGCTGGCTTGCTTGGAGGAGTTGCAGGAGAGTGCCATGGTAGAGGGGCTTCCCTGGCTGCTGCCGCTTGCGGGCACGAACCGCGCTACCGCCGTCAGCAGGCAGTCTTATTACGCCCGCACTCAACTACGCGAACTAAGTACTCTTCTTAGGTCGGCCACACATCGAATAACAATCGCGGTACCTGGCTTAACGCGTAAATTCGGGGTCTACGCGTTGAACGGTGCTCGTTGTTCTTCGCTCTCTGAAAATCATGAATCTTCCGCGTATCGGAGAGATGTAACATTGCCTTTTGTACGTACGATTGAACGGTTCGGTCACAGCGGCGGCTAGCATTTTCGGAAACGATCTTGAAATCAGTTAACGAATCGAGTTGCCGGCGAGGAACCTTCGAGTTCGATCGGCCGGCGAGGACCCGCTGCCCGGTCAGAGGTAACTTTAGAACGATAAAGCGTGTTTCTGCATGGAGATATTCCGGAGCTGAGTACTTGTTTCTTTTTCTTTCTTCCTTTTTTTTTTTTCATCCTTCTTGAAAGTGTAATTCCGGCATTTTGTCGCGGTGCCCGTGTGCAATTCAGTTGATAGCCATGAAATATTAATCGTGAAATTTATTATACGTTCACGCATAATAAACGTGTATGAAATTATTAGTAACAAATTTTTACTTAAACTTTCAGCAAAATGACAAGTTTTAGGTTAAGGCGCGAAATTCGTATGTTCTATTCAAAAAGTGTGACGTCTCCTCTCCTCCCTGTGGCGCTTCAAATTGACGAATCAAAATTCGACAGACGCACTTGACCTGGAATGTCAGTTGTACGTGCGACGCGTGAAGGAACGGGTGTCGCGAGTTTTGTGTGAATAAAATAGAAGAGGACAAAGACGTTCTATTCGTCGTGGCGTCAATTAGTTTCGTTTTCTTGGTAGTAGAAGCACGTCGCCGTTAACATCGGGCGGTCATTACGTTGTTTGTCGCGCGCCAAGAATTCGCATCTGCGCATACCGAACTGTCACGATTATCGCGTGTCACGAATTCATCTTGTATTTTGATCGTTTGAAAACGGCCGGTATTTGTGTTGGCAAAACCCACGTAGATAATCAACTGTATTACGTCGTGAAAGGTGGCTCGGTCATTCGAGGAAGATGGAAACATTAGGTCGCGACAAATTTGACGAAAAAACAATGGTTAACCTCCAGCCTCCATGCAAACACACGCTTAATGACCACCCTCCAAATTAGATCGTGATGTTACGTAGGAAATTTTCTCGATTTCTCTCTTTATTGACGAAAAATGGCAAATTGTAAGATATAAATACAATATAGATTTTTTTACTTCCATCAGCAGTTGAACCAATAGTAATTAACAAATCGATAAATTATATCGATATAATTTAAAGTAACTGACAAATCAATGAGTCGTAACCTATAAATTTTTTGTTTTATAATTTTTCGAGATAAAAATAATAATAATTAGATAATTTATAAAATGTGCCAATTGATTACTGTTAATTCGTAACTTGTAAAAGGGCTTGTAAAAATTTCACGAGATATCGTACGATCAACCGACATATGAAAAAGAACCGTTACATTAGTTCTATCGAACTGATATCGATCTCTTCCATAGCTATCGATTTGCTCGTCGAATAAATAAAAGATGGCACGCACCCTTCAGGTAGCACGGAAATTGGAGAGTTAGATGTCACTGGTGATCGATCAAGATCGATCGATGTCGTTAATCGATATCCGATCACTCGTCAATTACGTGCGACAGGCCGCCGCGTCGAATCAATCGTGCGCTATTTCGTTTACACTTTCGATCATGTTGACGTGAACGTGGTAACGTACGGGAACGTGGTCAGTGTGAAGACTGCTTAATAGCGAGGAACATGTGCAACCAAGGAATAGTGGCGAAGCTGATGTTGCCGGGGCACGAGCTACACTGTGACCACTCTGTTCTCGACGAACCCTGACCGATTCCACCAGTTTCGTTTCGCCAGCTGACTGTCGACCAGGATCGAAAACACGTTACGGTGAACCCGTGCTTTCGAATATTCGTACGGTCGAGTTCGCGCGTCCAGATAAATTGATAGAAGTGTCGATTTGAGTTAACGCGTATAGACTGTGCGTACAGACGAAGTTTCTTTGAGAGAAGAAGCGGTGTATTCGCAAAATTACACGTTTTCACGTACATTCGGTACGCTATGAACATCAACGTTCCTGGATGTAACGGGTGGTTCGCAAGTAAGTGTCCAAATATTTTTTTTTTACCTTACGCTCATAACCTCTTCCCGCCATTTTTTTCCTCGACCAACAGCAGCGCCCTTTTTGAATGAAGTTCGATACACTGAACTAGGCAATGTACAAATATCGATTATGCGACTGCTTCTCGAGAACTCGCGGAGTGTTCGTTACATTCGATTTAGCCTTTTCGCATATTCCAACGACATGTTGGATAAAATGTAAACAAACATTAGCATTTTAGACTGAGGGGGGAGGGGGGTTAATGTAACTGGACACACGCAACTCGTCGCGACACGAGCCATATACAGTAATTTACGTTTGACGCGTCGTTTTGATAATTAAGTGAATAACCTAGAGGCAATTTCAGTTAGTTGAATAAATTTTCAAGTCATTCTTTTTATCAATTGTAAAAATATCTCCAGTAAAAAATGGAGTGTCAATTTAGGAAAAGTTAGTCACTGCTACTCGATGTTCAAAAATGGCGCTGTATTTCCGCGCATGTCAATTGTTTCTCGATCCGAGGCTCTTAATTAAAAATTTTCTTTACTGCTAGCGGGTTTATTGTCACTTAGACACGCGAAACGATTTATTTCACCTACGTTCACGTTCGTACAATCCAAATAATGTTTTCAAACAAACTTACGAATACATTAGGAATGTTATAGAATAGTATCTAATTTAATTGGAATAATATGATTATATTTGTACATTTTGAAACAAATCTGGAGAAATACCAGGAGTATTTAAATAATCAATTGTTATCCGTGACATTAATAAAGTTCGATCAAAGTAAAAATTGAAACATTTACTCCGTATTTTTGAGAATATGACATGGAACTAAGGAAGAAAATCGTTTTACTTACTGCGTCACGTGCAATTATTATATATGCTGTAAAAATATCACATACAATTATAATATTATATTTGTTCATTTTCTACATTTTTTGTTTAAATATTTTCACGAACCCCTACCATCCCGATAAACGAAAAATCTGGCACGATTTCCTCGTCATAAAATATTTTCGTTCGCCTAATTGCGATCGCGGATCAATCTCGACCAGGGCCTCACAAATCGATTGTAATGCACGTAATACCGTATCGGTACCTACCCTCGTAAACCTTTATCTGTAATGGGCCCCCGCCTATTGGACTAATCGTGATCATGCATCACGTTCCTCTATCTTCATCTAATTCTTCACCGCTCGATACAACGGTGTAGCCTGCACCTCCTCCGTGCAGCCGCATTCTTTCCCGGCCGTTTCTGGATAACCTGGCCACCAGGATTTTCAGGCATATCTCTCTTTTTCCTTTCTCCGCCCTGCCGGGACACGAATTTCAGCGGCGGAGGGGATCTCCGTCTGGGGAAAGTTCTGGAGACTTTGGGTCGCGCCATGTTGATCATTTTGGCCGGATGTCTCTGCCTGTGGATAGGGAACGTGTTCTCGAAATAGATTTTTGGAAAGAAACGGTTAATCTGTGCGATTGGAAAGTGAAAGTTTTGCGAAAGTTTTGCGAAAGTTTTGTTCTTCAATGTAAAATACCATTTCGGAGTTTAGGAACTTGGAATTCCAACTTTTGGTATATTGAGAGAGAAAAAGTTGAAATTTCTTCTAATATTTGGTAATATTTTAGTTCCCTCTTCTAAGAAATGATGATCTTTCGCTTGAAGGGCTAAATAAATTAATTTGTCAATTTTTCCAATAATTAATTATTGGGATTGCCAAATCTCACACACCGTGAGCATCCTCTCTTCGTCTTTGTACAAATTAAATTTTTTCAATGCCAATTAGTTCGACAGAACATCAATTTCTCTTTACTGTCGTTCAGTTCCACGGCCACAAGATGCCGGTGTAGAAACGAGTTGCAAATTCGAAATCTTTTATAGCAGTCATCAAGTTAAATAATCGGCGGTAGCGAGCAGAATTTCTCGCGATGTCCTTTCGGTATCGATACTCGTTCCTACGAATAATGTATAATGTACGATCTTCTTCTCGAGATGGAGTGGAAACTCCACGGAATTATTCATGAATATAATTCATTTCGTTATCCGATTTATCGTCTGGCCACTTTCTTTTATCTCTTCTTTCTTTCTTTCTTTCTTTCTTTTTTTTCTTCCTTTGCTCGAACTGAAAGTGTGAAGAAACACTTTCCTGCCGACTTTATTTAGCCGTTCCAGGTATCGGCGTCGGCTACGTGACACCGTACAGTCGAAGAAAAACAAGATCTCGAGAAAATGCGTGGGTTTCGTTATCAACGTCGGTAATTTATGCACGCGCGACTAGTAGATTTCTGTTCTTAACGGAGTACCGTACCGAAGTCGTATATCATCTCTTGTACCCGATCGGAACTGAATAATCAATTAATAAGGAGAATAAATGATTGCTCCATCAGCGAGGGGACGCGCATAAATCTTTGCCTGTTGCTTGTCGCCGTTCGAGATTATTGTATTTAAAAATTCCACGTCCCACCCTTTCCATGCGTCACTCGTTTCCTTTTTCTTCCTCCTCTGTATTATCTGCATGCGCGTTGCAGAAGGAAAATTATTGGTTCTTGTCATTTGGGGTAATTACGAGAGAAATATAAGGGATTATTATGAGACTGTAATAATAGGCTGTATTATATACACACATACGTGTATGGCAAGTTATTAATCAGTATTTGGCGGTTGTAGCTATACCGACTTTGTCATTAATTCGATACTTCAGATCTTGCGTCTATCACAGTTGTCACAACTGCGAACTTTGCGTGCGTTTATGCAAACTTGCATATAGCAGTGAAAAAAATAAATCAAAATATTCGAAGTAAAATAAAAGTGAATTTATCAAATTTGTATGAAAATGTACAAATTAGTCGTTCTGCTAGTAATAATTTTATACAATGAAAAGAATTGCTCTCCTATATTTTTACAATTTGTAAGCTGGTCGAATTATTCACAGCTTATTAATTGAAGAAAACAAAATGAATTCGCGGTGTTAGTACTTATTATTACATTCGTAATAAAGAAGCAAGTTATCAATTAACTGAACAATAAACTTATGTTTAAATTCTATATTTCCAATTTTAGCACGTTATATCTTTTTCCACGAAAAAGTATCAAACAAATTTTACTTCTACTTTACTTTACTCTCACATAGTCACAGAGAAAAGACTTTAAAAAGAAACTTAGTTCTAAAAGGGTTGAACAATTGAGTAATTTTGGGTTTCTGGAAATTCACAAAATGACGTTACGTTTTGTCATTATAAGAATATTTGCTAGTCAGTTCCTCAAAATCTGCCACGACGAATGAATAAGATTGTTATTAGACGGAAAGGGATGACATCTACTTGAAGAAGTCAAATAATTAGCATCCCAAAAATGTTTCTTCTTCGCCTGGATTGGAGAAGCTAGCTGCGAGAAACTATGAAATTCATTGAATTCCCACCAAGCTGAACAGATTATTGTTCGCATTACCAACGAGCAAAAGTCTCGAGGACTGGATCGTAGATCGGCCGATCGTTTGACGTGCAACGAGGGGACCAGTCGACGGAATAAAATGGAACACGAGAGGCGCTAGTCGAACGGAGGGAAGAAGAACCCACGTAATGTAGGACGTAATATAGAAGCGATAATGTGCAGTCACGTCGTGAGCTAAAGACGCGTCGAACTGAATCGTTGATCTGCTCGCGTGGGTGTAACGAGAGGTATAATGCGCGGAAAATTACCGGCAGACTGTAGACCGCCGTCGAAATCACCACCTTGAGATAGATACATACCTTTCGATCCATTAGGTGGATGCCTCGCGAAAAAGGGTCCATACTCCATATTATTGTCGCGAGTATTTCTGAAAATCTTTCAATCTTTCAGCGTGGATCTTATCGGGAGTAATGATGGACATTGTATCGTGTGTTAGGTTAACAATACATCGGATACGTTAGGCTAAACAATTGCGCGAGGGTGATTTTGTTGAGACGAGGACTTTGTATTAATTTTTGAATTATTCCGGAGGAGATATTAAATTAAAATTGATAGATCGTCCTACACGAAATGATTGAAACGATTGAAATGAGTGAAATCGTTTAGAATTTGATGATCAAAAATACTAAGTAATATTTGTCGAATGTCGTATTGAAGTTAATGAAACACAACAGATCTTGACGATTGTTTTATTGTAAAGAAGTAGATTTTCTATAGAAATGAACCTAAGAATATTACAAATTTGACCACTTTGTCCGCAACAATATAATTAAAAATGTACAAATTGTCCAATTTAGAATTTTGTCAAGCTCACACCATCGTTATCATTGTCTGCAACAATCAAGAATAAAATTGGCAGGTTGTTCGAACGAAAAATTCATAGAAAATACAACATTTAGACACGTAACTGCAAAAATTACACGTGAAGTTTACACGAAATACCGAATTTATACCGAGAAGAACGCCACGTTGCCGCGAGTTAGATAAAGTCTTTCAATCGAACTCGAAGATCTACAAGAAAATGCGAGATAGCGGTGCTTTTTTCTCTTTTCTCTCGGCAAGCCGAGTTACACGGGTTGATATTGAAATCTGGGCGTGCAACGGAGCGCAAAGTTGAGGGGAAGTCTGTTAAACAAGGCCGATAGTAATAAAGGAACTTGTTTAAATCCAGCGTGTACCGTAATAGACGAGATTAAATCGAAGGAGGGGAAGGGGGGGGGGAGGAAAAAGGAAAGAAAAGAAAGGAAAGCGATGCACGCGTTACGTGAAAGCCGCAACGCCGATATAAATAAGACGATAACGCCGCGTTTCTCGCCGCTACGTGCTAAAGATGTGCCAGATCGACGACCCGCCCAACAGACAGACCGTGGGCGTTCGAAACGGCCCCGATACCATCGTCAACTTTTACCCTATTGTCTTCGACAGACGTGTCCGTCCTAAACATGGAAAAATCAGCGTACGAGGATCAACTTTTTCATCGCATCGAGCGGAGAAACTTTACAATTATCTTCAGAGTGGAGATTTTCATTAATTTCTTCATGTCGGT